ACGGAGGGTGTGCCGGGTCTGTACAGGGGGTACGTGCCCGGCATACTCAACGTAAGTCACGGCGCCCTCCAGTTTATGGCGTACGAGGAGCTCAAGACGTTATACGTGACCAGTCGTGGTCTGGATGCCGGCGCTAAGTTGGATACGACGGCATACCTGTGCTGCGCGGCGCTCAGCAAACTGTTTGCCGTCACCATTACATACCCGCAGCAACTCCTAAGGGCTCGCCTACAGGACCAACACAATCGCTATGACGGCCTCATCGACGTGATTAGGAGGACCTGGAGGTTTGAGGGCCTCCGAGCAAACTGTTTGCCGTCACCATTACATACCCGCAGCAACTCCTAAGGGCTCGCCTACAGGACCAACACAATCGCTATGACGGCCTCATCGACGTGATTAGGAGGACCTGGAGGTTTGAGGGCCTCCGGGGCTATTACAAGGGACTGTTACCCAATCTGATGAAAGTGACCCCGGCCTGTGCGCTTACGTTTGTCGTATACGAGCACTCAATTAATTTTTTACTTAAAAAGTGATGCATTTATGAAGTGATATATAAATCTCAATATGAATTAAAAGTCATTTTTTGTATATTTTAATAGTTTTATATATTATAAAAATGTTTTTGCCATGAATTGAACTTTGTATAATTTTTCATGAACTGTTCACATGTACATTATTACAAAAGCCTGCTATACCATATTCTTTCCATTTGTTCTTGATATTAATACATAATTTTTAGACATTTAATTTACCATATAAATTAAACATTTATTTATCTGTCATTCATACCACATAAATAGAGTGATAATAAACTGATTCAATATTTTACAGTACTTCGGTACAATATGTCAGTATTTAGTACATTTATGGTAATTTCAACTGTATATAATAACTGGTCTAGTTGATAGAATATTTAAAGCTAGTTAATTAATGTTACAAAATTTAAAGGTCATATAAATATAAAAATCAAATAATCTGAAATAGCCTTCAATAAGATTATCCACCTTTTGGTATACGATTAGAGATGATCACACGTGTGCATATGACATAAAACAGTATTTAAAGCCCCGTTTTCAGTTTTCAAGTTTATTGAGAAATATGAGTAGATTTTCTAAATAATATTTTATATAAAATTCTCAAATTCTAGTTATATTTGTTTAAAAAGATTTGCAAATTGTTTTATAATAGACATGGAGTTGAAGCCAGAAATCTATCAAAGTCTCAATTATTTGCCCAAAGAGTTTGCAATAAAGACATTCACGAGACTTCGTGATGAGAATAAGTGAGTTTTTATTCATATGAATATATTGAATGAATTATTTTAATTATTACTTTACAGATCATACGGTCTGGTTGTAGACCTGGGACCTGGTGATGGAGGGTTAACCAAAGTACTGTCAACTTATGTCAACCATAAACGCATTGTGGCCTTAGATATTGATCCTGGTTGTATATCTCATTGCAAACAAATTAACGGGGTCAAAACCATAGAATATGAGATACAAGACTTGGGTGTAGAATGGGATCAGTTTAGATCAGATCTTAAGCGACAACTGGAGGGCAAAGTAGAGCTCATATTCTCTAACTTTACACTNTACAAGACTTGGGTGTAGAATGGGATCAGTTTAGATCAGATCTTAAGCGACAACTGGAGGGCAAAGTAGAGCTCATATTCTCTAACTTTACACTACATTTCATACCAAATAAGAGGCAATTACTGGAAGTTATATCCAGACTATTGGCTCCAAACGGCATAATTCACGCAAATTTTATAGTCATCTCTGATTTGAACAAAAAGTTACCCATAGATGACCGAAAACCTGAGTACCTATCAGTTGATCAACAGATAGACATCTGGAGGGAGAGTATAGTTGACAATGGATTAAAGATTACGGAGTTTAGTGTTGTGGACGCGGTTTGGCATATGAGTCGTCAGGAGATAATAAGTTTGTATTAAAAATCTTTAAAATGTTTAGCAATTTGTATTAATTGAAAAAGTTTTTTTGAAAAGACTTTATTCCGGTTCCCGTCGGCTTTTACAGGACGTTCATCAAAGCGGGCCAACCATTTGATGGCAAACGACTAACTGGTGCCGTGTTTGACGCGCTTATAAATCCCGGTGCGGATCAGCCAAACCCTAACGCCTGGAAGGAATTCCTCGCCAATGAAAGCATCACTAAAGTTACTATTCATGTGAAAGTCATGAGTTTTATTGCCGTTAAATAAACGCTTAAAAATTATTAATAATTAATAGTTAAACAAAATGTGAATTAAATTCATACAATATCTGATCAAATGGATGAATTTTATACTATACTTAGTTCTTATTAATTAAATAATAAAATGATTATTAGATAATACAAAATACCTTGCAGTATGTAAAAATGGTGTTAATTTTTCAATAAAGTCATACAGTATCTAGGTATAAAGTAAATGCAACGTAAAAATACAAGATGTTGATAAAAAGATAATTTTTAGTAAATGCTAATATTAATTGATATAATAGTAATTAGAGGTCATTTGAGTGTAAATTAAGTGTACAGTCCTTAATAGCCTTCAGAAATGATAACCCACCCCTAGGAAACACCACAAATTGCCTGATCATATCACTTATAAAAACAGTATTTATAGCCAGTAATTTCTAGTTTCATTAGTGTATTGGAAAAATATTATTTAATATTAATGTTTATTTAATAAGATTTTAAGTCAACTTTACAATAGACATGGATTTGAAGCCAGAAATCTATGAACACATGAATTATTTGCCCAAAGAGTTTGCAATTAAGACATTCACGAGACTTCGTAATGAAAATAAGTGAGTAACATCCAGACCACGACTGGTCACGTATAACGTCTTGAGCTCCTCGTACGCCATAAACTGGAGGGCGCCGTGACTTACGTTGAGTATGCCGGGCACGTACCCCCTGTACAGACCCGGCACACCCTCCGTGCGGTATATCCGCCGCATCACAGCTACCATTCCGCTGTATGTTTGCTTAGTGTTGGCTGTGAGGGCTTCCAGTTGACTACCGGTGCCGTACTGGAGGCACATCTGAGTCTTCACAACCCAAATGGGATTTGTTAAGGAAGTGGTGATAACGCCGGCGATAGCGGCGGCCATCATATGCCTACCGGCGCCCAAATTCACAGTCTGGTTGCCACTCATACGCGACTTAATCGAGTTGTAAAAAGAAAATACAGGCCCCACGAGGCACCCGACCCCACGCAGTTAGGTGTGACCCCTCTGTACAGCCCCGTCAGACCCTCGTGTTTGACAATAGTGGTGACCGTATTGACCAAACCGTTATACTTGGGTCGCACGGCTACCTGTCCATCGTTCACAGCCATACGTATCTTCACCAAATCAAACGGGTGTAGGACTAGTGTGGGAACGACACCTCCCACGACACCGGCCACCAGGTGCTCGTACCGCACGTGCGATAACCACTTTACCGGACGTTTCACCGGCGCTGAGATAATGTCGGCGCTTGTATTGGCACTCATTATCACTGATTGTTTGACTAATTAATTAAAATGAGTTTTTAATGTATAGCCAAATAAATGCTGATTTCTTATTCAAAACACACATTTGTTTTGAAAATATTTTCTCATGTAATGAATTATAGCGTGAATTACCATTACTTTGTACTTAAATAGTGTACTTCATTGAGATATACCGGTATATTCTGTGACTGTAGTTAGTAATGGTGTTTACAGTTAGTCCATTGAAGGACGTTACCAAGGTTACTGTCAATTATGTACGGAATATTTCAGTCCAATGCAGTTATTCGCGCAAATTCTTATCATATTTGAAAACTGTTTAATGTAATAAATGGTGTTTACAGTTAGTCCATTGAAGGACGTTACCAAGGTTATTGTCAATTATGTACGGAATATTTCAGTCCAATGCAGTTATTCGCGCAAATTCTTATCATATTTGAAAACTGTTTAATGTAATGTAAAAACAATATTTTCAATACAAATCACTACTTTATATCAATGAGTCAAATATTTATTGATTGATCAAACAATTTGTGATCATTTATGGGCAACAAGTCTCAGCGTTTTGTAATATAGGACCACTTGAGTAATGGCATCATTGGCCAGGAATTCCTTCCATGCGTTAGGGTTAGGCACATCCCTACCCGGGTTAAC